CTCCAGGAGAGAGAGAGAGAGGGAATGGGAGAGAGGCAGAGAGAGAGGGAGACACAGAATCCGAAGCAGGCTCCAAGCTCTGAGCTGTCAGCACAGGGCCCCATGTGGGGCTCAAACTCACAAACCGTGAGATCATGACCTGAGCCAAAGTCGGACGCTCAATGGACTGAGCCACCCAGGCACCCCTAAAAAAAAATTTTTTTTAATGAGGAAATTAAGCTGAAGTAACCAAAGCTAGAACCTAGCACCCAGAAAATAAATACTTAGTGGGTGCTTATAATGTGTCAGGCACTTTTCTTGGTTGTAGTAAATCTCTGTTTCAGAGAGATCTTTAGCATAAGTATCCAGAAAATGTTTGGGGGTGAGGGGAGGGTGGTGGCTTATACGGAAGAAAAATCGATAGCACTGTTTTGGGCCATGCTGGGTTTCAGATGCCTGTTAGACATCCAAGGATGAAGAGTAGGAGGTGGAGAGACAAGTCTGGAGTGTAAAGGAGAGGTGGGGACTGGAGATAGAACACTGAGTCATCAGCATATAGATAATATTCAAAGCTGCCGCACTGAATGAGATTTCCCGGGGGGGGGGGGGGGGGGGGGGGGAGTAAAGATGGGGCACAGGGTTAAGGGCAGATAGCCCTGAGGCCCTCCAACACTGTGGTGTGATAGAGGAGAAATAGTCGAGAAAAGAAAAGAACCACGGACATGGCCAAAGAGGTGAGTGGAAAATCTCAGGAGTTTGAGGTCATGGAAACCTAGAGAAAAATGGAGGGCATAATCCCTAGTAAAGCTACGATAAAGTCATGTAAAATACGGAGAACTGATCACTAGTTTTGGCAAAAAGTTGGTCTTTTATTCAATAAATATTTATTTAGTACCAACTCTGTATTAGATACTGCTCAAGGGGCGAGTGAACAAAACAGATGAAAATCCCTGTCCTCCTGGGGTTCATAATCTGGCGGGGGGAGGTGGAAGGTGAACAATTAAATCACAGTGTTAACCTTAAAAGTAAGACCTGCCTGTTATTTTACCTGCAAAAGAGTCGATTTGGGAGTAAAAGAGGATTTGCAATCTGGGACAAACTAGCTGTAGCAAAACCCTAGGCAAGTGGGGAGCGGGGGACAAAGGAGAGGCATGCTCAAGGAGAAAAGGGGTAATTTGGCAAGGCTATTGCGGACTAAAAGTCCCCTGGAGTAAACTGGGGGTTCGGAAGCGCGGTGGCTTCTCATTGGCTGAGCTGTTGAGGGAGGGGCGGGGTTAAGGAAAGCCGGTCCTCCTCCAGCAGGCCGCGTAGAGGAGTATCTTGGGCAGGGTCAAGTCAGTCTCTTCCTGTTGGGCCTGCAATTGACTACTGAGTGGTAAGGTGTCAATGCTCCCCGCTGTGGAAACCTCCCTTTATTTTAGGGAGGTTCCCCCTTACTAATTTTCACAATAGCATGCTGGTTGGTGATAAGCACTTTGCAGAAAACTAAAGCAGGGAGGAAGCGAGTTCAGGATGAGGTGGGTAGGGCAGGGTGGTGATTAAAATGGGGTGAGCAGGGAGAACCACACAGGTGACTTTTGAAGACCTGAATGAGCAGAGGGCATGAATGAGCTATGCAGGGCCCTGGAGGAAGAGCCCTTAAAGGGGGAGAACACCTGCCAAAGAAATTGCCTGGAAAGTACAAAGACTCACCAGGATACTGGCCTGGCTGGAGCAGAGTAAGTGAGGAAGAGAGTAATCGAGGGGCGGCAAATGGGGGCATGGGGGAGGCTGTGGGGAGCCTTCACTGTGAGGAAGCCAGGGATTTGAGCAGAGGAGGGACACCGGCTGAGTTCCTTGTTAACAGGCTCATGCAGGCTGCTGTGTTGGGAATAGACTCTTGGGGACGGGAGTGGGGTGCTAAGCAAAGGCTGAAGTAGGGAAGTTGGTTAAGAGGCAACTGCAATAGGTTAGGTGAGAAATGGTGTCCCCTGGGCCAGGTGGTCAAAGTGAACCCAGTGAGAAGTTGAGAGACTCTGGATACACCTTGGATCTAAAGCAGATTGGATTTGCTGATCAGCTGGGTGTGTGTGTCTGTAGCATGTGAAAGAAACCACCTAGCGTAACATCTAGATGATGGGCCTGAGCAGTTGGCAGGATGGAGTCGAGGAGGACTTCAGGAAATTCGAGATTCTGTTGTGGATATTGTCCTAAACATGAGAGTGGATATTGTCCTTAAACATGAGAGGGGGGCGGAGATCTGCTTCAGTGAAGGGGCCAGCCTCCATGGGGGTGTGGACAGCTCCTCAGCAAAATACAAGCAGAAAGGTGCAAGCCCATACAAACTCTTTTTTCCAATTAATTTTTTTTAAAAATTGAAGTATAGTTGACATACAATGTTACATGAGCTTCGGCTGTGCAATATAGTGATTCAGCGATTGGACAACTCTATACATTATGCTATGCTCTCTCTGGACGGCTTCTATTTTTTCAATGAAAGAGCGCTCCGGGGTCATCCGTCAGAGTGAATATGCAGGGAGGAAGTGTTTGAAGTTTGAGGAGACAGTTGTTGAGGAGAGTGGGGGAATGAATGGAGGAAGGCAGTAAAATTGGGGGGGGGGGTGCGGAAACAGCTCTAAAGGCCCACTTGACCTTAAGGTGGTGATGTGTTTTCCTTCAAGCACCTTAAGGCACACAGGTACAGGTGTGGAGTCAGAAGAGCCGGAATTAGCTGTGGCTGAAGGTTTGCTGAGTACCGTGGAATGACAGCAGGGGAAAAATATTCAGTGTTCAAGGAATTCACTCACTCCATGCCTAGGGGTACGAGGAAGTGAGAATTACCACCACTTGAGAGCCTCAGGGAAAACTGTGTCTTGGGGGAGAAAAGGGTTTAATTCAAGACAAAGAAGGAAAGAAAGCATTCAAAGAGGCTGAGGAGGTGGGGGGTTTTGTTGCTCTTGGTACATCTCTTTCAGTGGAGTGGTGTGGCCTGCCTGGAGGGAGTCAGGAACAAGTGAGAATAGTTGACAGAAAAGTGGACAACTCTTTCAAAAACTTTTGCTCTAAAGGTGCTGGATGAACTGAAGGCTGGTGTGGGTGTGGGTGTGTGTGTGTGTGGGTGTGTGACTTAAGATAGATGATATTTCAGCATGTTTTTATTCCAACAAAAAAGAGCCAGTCAAGAGAGCAAAAAATTGCCAGTACAAAAGAGAAAAGGGACTGATGTGGGGATCCTTGCGGAAGCAAACTCCTTGAGAAGGCTAGAGGGCATTGGATCCAAGGCCTAAGTGGAAGAATTGGCCTTAGAACCAACTTTGTACAAGAAAAGTGGCAAAGAAGGCTGTAGGCAGGAAGGTTGGTGGAAACGTTAACTGGAAAGATTAGTTCTCTTTGGAATGGATCTATTTTATCTCTGTAAGTATGAGAGGTTGTCATCTGGTGTGTGTGTGTGTGTGTGTGTGTGTGTGTATTGGGGAGGGGGGTGAATATTGGAAATTTGATGAAAGGGCCAGGAGAGACAGTCCTGAGGTTGGGAGAATGAATTTACTACGGAATCATAGAAAGTTTGCTTGGCAGTATTGAGGGTCCACCTGACGTGTGTGGTCCTAGATCTGAAGTGGGATCAGTCAACAGAGTTGTGTAATTTTTCCCCACCGGGCCATCCCCATCCCAGGGCGTTGGGATGTTTGCAATGAAATGCTGCAAATATGGGGCCGCCATCTGGGCTTCAAAAGGAGGGAAGCAAGGGCATGAAGGGGGTCCTGGATAACGACAAAGGGTCTGGTCGAGGGCCTGGAGTGAGAGGACTAGGGTCAATGTACTTGAAGGGGAGAGGGCAGTAAACAGAGAGGGGGGTAGATGAGCTTCAGATTGTGCAGATGGGGCCTTATTGATTTTCTCCTCCAACTGAAAAAAGCACTAACCAAGTGAAACCTTTATGATCAAGGTGATGTTGCTTTTGGCTTCCTGAAGGAAAACGCTTTCTGATTATATCACTGGTTTGGTTAGGGTTGGTTTGGCTAGTAGAGTTGGAGTCAGTGGGAATTTCACAGTTGATTCCGGTATGAAATGAGTGCCTTTATGCTTTGTTACAAGGAAGCACTACAGCAAACAGGGGAAACCTGTAAATTGTTTTGACACCAATATGGAGAGATACATTTGGCTTTAACTTTTCACATACGTTTCATGATGCCAATATTAAAATAAGAAAATGCTCATTTCGTAATGAATGGAAATTTTCTCACGAATTTGGTATCCTCGGCAACTTTAGAGAATAAAAGGGTTTCTCTGGGAGTGTACGTAAAAAAGGAATTAATTTAAGCGAGGATATTTTGCTGTTAAGGATTTAAAAGTAAGCATAAAAAAAACCCTTCATTATAAAATTTTTTATTCCACCGCCTTGCCATTTAAAATTCCAAGAATATAAGCAAATATCGTCCAACGTCAGAAGTAGATTCAGGGTGACCATCTTCAGTGTTTAGTGACTTAATAGTATCATGGGAAGGTTCAATTCATTAAAAAGAGTAATCAAGTTTCATTTGCATAATAATCAAGATAGGGTACAGAATTACATTTTCACTTGGCTTATACAATTCCATTTTCTCCAACCGGAAGCTGTGTAGGATCCAGGCCCACTTTCTTCATGGACACGGCCACGTCAAACAAATAGTCGTAACACTCACACCTAGAAAAGAGAAAGCAAAGAACGGAAGCTCTTAGTGAAAGAGAGTTCTCCAGCCCTCCCACATTTCTCCTCTCCATCAGGCTAAGCCGGCTCCTAGTGCATTGTTTTTTTCTCAATTCCAGGCCAGATTTTTCTCATTTTGCCCCCAGCATTATTAAAACATGGAAAGGAATCATTTTGAATCATGCAACCATATTACATGCATCTCAGGAAATAAAAGGGAGTTTAAAATATACTACTTACATAAATTTAAATTTTTTACTCTGTGTCACTTTTTAAATTTTTTTTTTTTTTTCAACGTTTATTTATTTTTGGGACAGAGAGAGACAGAGCATGAACGGGGGAGGAGCAGAGAGAGAGGGAGACACAGAATCGGAAACAGGCTCCAGGCTCTGAGCCATCAGCCCAGAGCCTGATGCGGGGCTCGAACTCACGGACCGCGAGATCGTGACCTGGCTGAAGTCGGACGCTTAACCGACTGCGCCACCCAGGCGCCCCGACTCTGTGTCACTTTTTGAAATAAATGTAGCAAATCATTATTAACTTGGGTTAGCCTTATTCTCCCTTCTAGCCTTACACTTGGGAGAAAAAGAGCTGTTTCCTTCTCCTTTGTATCAAGTGCATAGTGTCTCGCCAAATAACAGCTTGTCCAATAAATATTTTGTAATAAATGAATACATAATGCAAATCAAGTATCTAGAAATAACAGACTTAAATTTAAATTTTTTAAAATGTTTTTATTCATTTTTTAAAAAAAAATTTTTTTAACGTTTATTTATTTTTGAGACAGAGAGAGACAGAGCATGAACAGGGGAGGGGCAGAGAGAGAGGGAGACACAGAATCTGAAACAGGCTCCAGGCTCTGAGCGGTCAGTACAGAGCCTGACGCGGGGCTCGAACTCACGGACCGTGAGATCATGACCTGAGCCGAAGTATGACGCTTAACTGACCAAGCCACCCAGGCACCCCTGTTTTTATTCATTTTTGAGACAGAGAGAGAGACAGAACATGAGCAGGAGAGGGGCAGGGCAAGAGGGAGACAAAGAATCCAAAGCAGGCTCCAGGCTCCGAGCTGTCAGCACAGAGCCCGGCACGGGGCTTGAACTCACGAACCATGAGATCATGACCTGAGCCGAAGTTGGACGCTTAACCGACTGAGCCACCCAGGCGCCCCCAGATGACTTAAATTTAAACCACTTTGACCAATAACACACAAAAAAGTCGTACTTCCTTTCAAATCATAAAACACACTTCATTCCCTCTTCACATCTGGAGTATAGTGACTTGTCCCAAATGCCCTTTGATGGATACTTACATGGTTTTGGCCTTCTCCCAGGTTTCTCCCCAGACATACACTCCATGACGCCTGACCAGGACCGCGCAGGAGTCTGGGTATTCATTTATTGCGCGAGCCATTCGTTCTTTGAGGTCTTTCTCCTCAGGTGTATTCTCAATAATGGGTACCACTAACATATCATCATACCTATGGGACAAAACAAGCCATTTTTCGCGCTAAAGCAAATAAAGGTATTCATATGTAAAATTTACAATTTTTTTCATGGACCAACTAGACATTCTCTTTGTATCTGAAAGCCACTCCACGTTATGAACAAGATTTTGCATGTTATTCTGTATATCTTGCATAGAGAGCTGTATCAAAAGACGCCTTGGGAATTTGGCAGGTATTATTCTAAGTGGCAGAAATTTGTATAGGATACCAAAACCTAACAAAGAAATTATCAAGATCATACAAGTATTTCCTTGAGGCAGAGACAATCATAGTATTTTTAGTAGGAGATGAGAAATGATAGATCCGAGAACCAGAAACATAGAAAGGATTAACAATTGCACTACATATTAAGTATGGATTTTCCAAAGGTACAAAATCATTTTATTTTATCTCTGCAAGACCTCAAAGGGTCTCAGGCAAATAAATATAGACGGGTGTGGTTTATAGTACTGGGTTAGCAAGAACCTTCTGGAAATAACTATTAAAGGTGTGATAGTCCTTGGGGCGCCTGGGTGGCGCAGTCGGTTAAGCGTCCGACTTCGGCCAGGTCACGATCTCGCGGTCCGTGAGTTCGAGCCCCGCGTCGGGCTCTGGGCTGATGGCTCGGAGCCTGGAGCCTGTTTCCGATTCTGTGTCTGCCTCTCTCTCTGCCCCTCCCCCGTTCATGCTCTGTCTCTCTCTGTCCCAAAAATAAATAAAAACGTTGAAAAAAAATTTAAAAAAAAAAAAAAAAGGTGTGATAGTCCTTTCAGAACATTCTCAAGTCTGTGGCCTTAGAACTTCTTTTACTTCCACCTGTTTTCAGTAAATACATGTGATAAAACCAGAATATGCATTTCCTTTCTGTTCATGTAATAATATTTACGCAAATAACTTAGACACTGGTAAAATTACGTCTGTCTCTGAGGTCATTTATATCCAAACTCGGACATGTTTTCCCTTTTACATAAATTTCTCTTCCCTTGTTAAAGGAACATCTCCTTTTTCGCTACCTCTATAATGGCCAAACTTAACAACAACAAAAGAAGTTCTAAGTAAAGTTTTACCAAAAATTGCTACTTTAGGGCAGGTATAGGCTAAAGAGCTGTCATGTGATAAACAGCCTGGCCAACCACTACCAGCAGCATTATGGAGATGTTTATTATTTCACTTAAGTGAAATAGAGGTAATTGAAGGATATTCTTAAAATATGGGAAGAATGAATTGCTAGCCCCAAATCTTTTTCTTTTTTTTTTTAATCTTTACTTATTTTTGAGAGAGAGAGACAGAGTGCAAGCAGGGGAGGGGCAGGGAGAGAGGGAGACAGAATCCGAAGCAGGGTCCAGGTTCTGAGCCCCTGACGTGGGGCTCGAACTCACAAAATGCGAGTTGATGACCTGAGCCGAAGTCAGACGTTTAACGGACTGAGCCAGCCAGACGCCCCCCAGATCTTTCCTAATGTTGGCCAAGAGAATCACAAACATATATTTTCCTCTAGCATACACTGAAAAGTCAGACATCTTTTCCTGAGTCAAATAATATCACAGCAAAATGAGACCTGAAATTCAACCCAAGCCACCCACTTTACAGACTGAACACTATTCCTTCTGAGTCAAATGAGGAACAGAGCCAAGATGGTCCTCTGACCTCTAAACAGTGTGCTTTTCACTCTGCCACAGGCCACCCGTGTTGCTGCCGGAAGGAAGGACAACCACACTTACTTACATACGGTAACCTCCCCTGAGGAGAATTAGGTGTGTATTTGAAAGTTTTTGTTTTTCAAGCTGGACTTAAAAAATACAGAGCATCAAAACCCTCCTTTGTTCCTTCGTCCAGCCTTCACTGCCCCTTCTTTTGAAAACTGGACTCTTAGGATTCTCCCCAAATTCTGAAGAAAGATCACTGCCTCCTGAGCTGTGATAATGACCCTGTTACTGACTTCCCAGCCAGGATCAAATAGAATAGCAAAAGACATTTCAAAAAGGTTTGTATTCTTTAAAATCAGAAACGTTTAAAGTGATCTATGAAGCGTGTATGTTACGATGCATAAAAAGTGGCATGTCTTGATTCGGGCCATTCTTTTTCTCACAGAATTCCAGAAGGCTCTCTGCTGTCCCTCTACCCGCCCTTTCACGCCTCCTTCTCACCTGCTTTTATTTCTTCACCAAAGCAACCAAACGCTGCTGAAATTACTAGCACACACAATGCCTCTCCTTGGAGACCCAGAATGGAAAGGCAATGTGGGGCTATCCTTTCCTTAGTATGTACACTTTCATAATTTAAACATTTCACTTTTGTAAATAGATATTCTGCAGTGCTGAGTAATGCTGTAGGCATACAATAAATAGTAACTAAAATCAAGTCATATTAAGTTCCCAGCACACTAGTTTAAACATGTACTTGGATTCTACTACGTGGATTAACAATAAGATACTGCTGTTAAGAACACTTTAGAAAAACTGGCACCCGTTTCCTCTAAGCAAGGTAAGGTAGGATCAGGCCCTTTGGCAAATTAAGCAGCTCAGGAATAAGAATGCCAGTACATTCAAATGAAATGCTTAGCTTGTACCTGAACACTGAGAACGCATTTCTTCCCATCCCTGTATTCTAGATTGGCGAACATTTTGGTGGGCTGGCGGATTTGGTTGATTTTATCTAGAAGGCCTCCATTCTATACCATCTATGCCACTTTCCATACTGAAAAATTATAAAAATACATAGATCTACTTAACTGAAATAATCGTAAATATGAGAATATTCTAGAAATACTAAATTTGAAAAAATTAAAAATTTGTTTTAATTTATTATTTTTTTTATTTTTGAGAGCACGAGAGAGAGATAGAGCATGAGCAGGGGAGAGGCAGAGAGAGAGGGAGACACATGTCCAAAGCAGGCTCCAGGCTCTGAGCTGTCGGCACAGAGCCCGATGTGGGGCTTGAACTCATTTATTTAATGTTAAATAAATTTTAACATTTATTTATTTTTGAGAGAGAGACAGAGTGCGAGCAGGGGAGGGGCAGAGAGAGAGGGAGACATAGACTCTGAAGCAGGCTCCAGGCTCTGGGCTGACAGCCCAGAGCCCGACACGGGTCTTGAACTCACGAATTGCAAGATCATGACCTGAGCTCAAGTCAGATGTTTAACCGACACAGGCTCCCCTAGACATACTAAATTAAATCAAGATGAAGCTTCAGTCAGGGCTGAAGCTTCCTGGAGACAAAATGAAGGTGAGGGGACCACGCTCTCAGGGTGCTTCCATACAGGAACATAATCTTTCCATCTCTATGGAAAGCTCAGCCAAGGGCTTTCCACTTAACTCTGACAAACGGTTTCATTATTCATGTTGCTAATAATTTACCAAGGCTGGGGTGGTGGTGGGGAGGAGGAAGGGTGGCGTCTGATTTGTGTCACTGAGAACAGATCTGGAAGTGTTAATATTAAGTGGGGTATTACTTAACATAGATCCCACAACATCTCATTAAAGGCATAAAAAAGATCAGTAGCCTCTTTATCAAAAGACAGAAAAAATACTTTTGAAATTACTTAAGCAAAAATAGAAAAAAAATACCTGTAATACCCTCCCGATGTACATTTCCTTATTCCTTTTATCATCTCTTGATGTGTAATTTTAAACTCTCGTCCTGGAAAGAGAAGGGTGGCCATGACAGCTGCTTTTGAGTGGGTATGAATCACTGCACCTGCTCCTGGAGGAGGGAGAAGAAAGTCACATACTCAGGGAACACAAAATGATACCTTTAAAAATATATATATGATATGTGACATATAGTATATATATAACATATATATTATAGGGGCGCCTGGGTGGCGCAGTCGGTTAAGCGTCCGACTTCAGCCAGGTCACGATCTCTCGGTCCGTGAGTTCGAGCCCCGCGTCGGGCTCTGGGCTGATGGCTCAGAGCCTGGAGCCTGTTTCCGATTCTGTGTCTCCCTCTCTCTCTGCCCCTCCCCCGTTCATGCTCTGTCTCTCTCTGTCCCAAAAATAAATAAACGTTGAAAAAAAAAAATTTAAAAAAAAAAACAAAAACATATATATTATATATCACATATCATATATATATTATATATCACATACACTTATTTGTATATGATGATGACCTTGTTTTTCTTGGCATGGAATAATAAGTTGGCAGTAGACAGGAGGGGAGGGATGGAGGTAGGAAGAGAGAAATACTAACAGAAGCTGCAAAGCTGCAAAAAGCATTTAAACTTTATCAGCATCAGGGCAATGCACAATACACATGCTTAAGAAATAGCTTTTAGATGGTCTGAAGTGTAACTAGAATAATCATGGAGATCATAGTCCAATATTCCCATTTAATTAGGAGTTCCTCTGTGCCAGGCACTGGGCAAATCCCCATTATGTGTGATCTCTTGATCTTGAGTCCCCCACAACAACAGAGATGTCAATTCTATCTCCCCGACTTAATGGTCAAGGAAACGGGGGTTCAGAGATGTTAAATCACTTGTCTGCGGTTCGCAGATAGCAGTGGTGGCACTTGGGTTTAAACCGCGGTCATGGTGACCCTTAATCATGGAGTTAGGCTTCAGAGTGCGGGCCATGTCTCGGTGGCATCGGGGTTGCAGGGTTTTAAGGTACAGTGTAACAGATTTACCTAAAAAAGGATTTGTATGCTATAAAATTCAGTAATGGCTATTTTTGCAATTGGAAGTTTATTTCACTTTATGCTGGGAGAGATGTTTCATGCTGTTAGCATCTGTTCCTGAGATTTTATGCTGTCGGGAGCAGCTGACAGTATCCGGGAACAGAACACAGCATGAGACCATGCTCAGAACAGATTTCATTCAGGTGCTATAAAAAGCATGGTTGTAATGACTTTATTGCTCTGGTGTTTCAGGTATAATTTTCTATTTTCACACTGTCCTCTAGGCTCAACCTTTCCAGACTGGTTTGCTATCACAAATTCTGGGAATTGAAATAAGACTCCTACTTTTATCATATGGTACACTA